CAGTAGAGCTGACTGGAGAAACTTTGAAATATATTTAATAAAAAATTACATGATTTGAAAAATGGGATCAACTTGGAATTTTATTTCAGAAGCATGTCCCATTATAATATTTTCAGAATTAAACAGTTAAATTATTTCACAATTATGTCATTGAAAATGTTTTTGTTCTGCATGACACATGGCTACAGCTAGACTGCAAGCCTCTTTTGAAAGAGGCTTTTTCGAAAGATAGTTTAGAAAAAGCCTCTTTCGTAAAAGAGCGCCTAGACTACAACCAGTACTTTCGAAAACACAAGACGCTTTTTTGAAAGAGAGTGCTTAGGCAATCTGGATGCTCGCTTTCGAAAAAGCACAGTTTGTATTACATAGCGCCTTTTTTCGAAATAGCACTTTTGAAAAAAGGCATTCTTCCTTGTAAAACAAGGTTTTCCGTGGTTCAAAAACTTGCCGCATTTTTTCGATGTATTTAATAAAAAATTACATGATTTGAAAAATGGGATCAACTTGGAATTTTATTTCAGAAGCATGTCCCATTATAATATTTTCAGAATTAAACAGTTAAATTATTTCACAATTATGTCATTGAAAATGTTTTTGTTCTGCATGACACATGGCTACAGCTAGACTGCAAGCCTCTTTTGAAAGAGGCTTTTTCGAAAGATAGTTTAGAAAAAGCCTCTTTCGTAAAAGAGCGCCTAGACTACAACCAGTACTTTCGAAAACACAAGACGCTTTTTTGAAAGAGAGTGCTTAGGCAATCTTGATGCTCTCTTTCGAAAAAGCACAGTTTGTATTACATAGCGCCTTTTTTCGAAAGAGCAATTTACGTATCTTCTTCTGTTTGCTTTTCCAGAAGAAGCTTTTCCGTCAATTGGTCCTGTTGAGAACGAGGTATACAGGGCTCCCCAAAAGAGCATGTTTGCTCTTCTACAAAAAAAAGCAGAAGAGCAAATGTGTTTCCTGGACGTGGAAGAGGTTTTCCGGAATGAAAAAAATGCCAGGCTAGATGTACCCTGATATAGTAGGTCAACATAAACTCAAGGGGGAAGGAAAATCCTTGAGGAATTCTGCAAAATGGATAAGATACTGAAATATAAAAGAATTGCTGATAAACAAAATAGCTACAGAGTATAAGGTATTGCCTGTTTCCTGTCTACCATACAGTTTTTCAATCAAGGCCTACTGATTCTCTAGCATGTCCTCTGTGTGCTGGTTCAAGCCCTCCCACCTCGATATTCTAACTGACAATAGACATTAATTAGAGTTGACAACTTTCTAATCCCACAAAACCAAATACCTTTTTCCATCCCTTGCCCCGCCCTTCTCTAAAGCCCTTCTCCAGCCTAGCCCTGCCCTGCCCCTTCTTGAAGGCCCCATCCCTGCTCACTCCACCTTACCTCCCTCCATTACTTGTTATCCCCCCACACTCATTCATTTTCACCTAGCAGAGGAAGGAGGTTGAAGGGAGGGAGGTGAGGACTCTGGCAAGGGGTGCAGGCTTTGGGATGGGGCTGGAGATCAGTGGTTTGGGATGCATGAGGGGACTCAGGGCTGAGAGGGTGGTGGTGAGATCTCCATCTTTAGACCTCCATCCATGCACTGGTCCCACAACTTCCATCATAGTTCCTGGCCAATGGGAATTGCAGAGCTAGAACTCTATGCACTGCTCCTGCCCCTGAGTGACAACTTTGCAGCTCTCATTGGCCAGAAACCACAACCAATGGGATCTGTGGGGGTGAACCTGCAGGCATGAAGGCAGCATGCAGATGTACCCTTCCTTCAGGGAAGCCATTGAAGGGACCTGGTGGCTGCTTCTGGGAGCCATGCAGAGCCAAGGAAGGTAAGGCTCCTGGGCCCTTGCTGTGCCATCACTGCTTTTTTAACAGCCTGGCTGGCAGTGCTGACAAGAGCTGTCAGGGTCTGTTTTCGAGGTGTTCTGGTGAAAATCTAGATGCCTGGCAACCAGTGTTCCCTCTAAGCTGCCTGGCAGCACAGCTTCACAGGTGATTAATCAGCCCCGCCCAGTCAGAAACTCAGGGCTCTGTGCACAGAGCTCAATGACTGGGTGGGCCTGATTAATCACCTGTGAAGCTGTGGTGCTGCACAGCTTACAGGGAACGCTGCTGGAAACCCTACATGGCATGAGACACACTCACTCCCTCTGCCATGAGAAGACAAAATGCAGTTAGGTGTCATAGGATTCCCCATGCACAAATGCGAATAGTGTACCAGTACTAGCTTTGATAACTTCAGAGGCATGAAGTCAGATATGGTTGCATGACCTGTGTTCAAGGTGAAAGGGACTCCAGGAGGTAGCAGTGAAAGAGCCACTGTTGCCCAATTATTGAGCCAGGCAGTGGGAAGGTATGGTCGACAGTGACTGTGAACATAGCCACAATCCAATACTTTGATAGAACACTGAAGGCCAGACACAACTGACCTGCACCTGAATCAGATACTGCTGGATTCATAACTTCTGGAACTATAGACCTTTCAGGTACTGGAAGAAGAGCCTGTTGTCTCAGTGGAACAGGTTAAGGGAGTCACATTTTAGCATTTAAAATGTAAGGGAGACCTGTGGTTCACCTCTGAGATGCTCATTCCCTTTCAGCTTTCAAAGGGAGCTGTTTTTATAAAGTTCCCTAGGAATCCTCTGAGTTGAGACCTTTTTTACAACACTAGAAGAGCTAAGCAGGAAGTTGCCTACATAGGCAATTCGTGCTGCACTCAGGAGGTGCACTGTGCTCCCCATACCTCTGCTAGCATTTTAATTGTTAAATGGGGAACCCTTTATTCCCCCTTCCTGTTCCAAACTAGGAAGTCTATTGTATGGCTTATGAGAAAGAACAGCAAGAAACCCACTGATTTCAACAACAAACAGCGTTGATTTCTTAAAGGGAACACTTATTAAATTAAATCCTCAGTAAATTAATTCTTCACTCAAAAAATAAGTGGTGCTAAATACATTGTGTATGTGGGGCAGGAGCGGGGGCCCTAGATATATTGTGTTATTCATACTCAACAAATTAATTTAATTTCCATATTAAGGGCATTAACTATGAAATTGACAATGATTACAATGTTTTGAATTCTAAATTCTTTTGAGGAGTAGGCCATTTTTTTCTAAAAATGGCAGGAAAAAATGTTCATTACATTTTCAGCCATTCCATTATAAAGTCATTTCTTGCAAGATGCAATGGAAAGCATCTGATGTAAAAATGCATTTTGCAAACCTTGAGTCCAAAGTGAAGCGATGGCCATCTCAGAATTGGTTACCAAGTACATGACTATGACAAAAGGAATGGGTTTGAGGCCAGAAACGAAGAAGTAACAAGAGATCCTCTTACTCAAAGGCTACGTCTACACTGGCATGATTTTCCACAAATGCTTTTAACAGAAAAGTTTTTCGTTAAAAGCATTTGTGGAAAAGCATCCATGCCAATCTAGACGCACTTTTGCGCAAAAAAGCCCTGATCGCCATTTTCGCGATCGGGGCTTTTTTGCGCAAAACAAATCTGAGCTGTCTACACTGGCCCTTTTGCACAAAAGCTTTGCGCAAAAGGGACTTTTGCCCGAACAGGAGCAGCATAGTATTTCTGCAAGAAGCACTGATTTCAGACAGTAGGAAGTCAGTGTTCTTGCAGAAATTCAAGCAGCCAGTGTAGAGAGCTGGCAAGTTTTTCCGCAAAAGCAATTGCTTTTGCAGAAAAACTTGCCAGTCTAGACACAGCCAATGGGTACGTCTACATAGCAGGGCTAAACTCAAAATAAGCTACGCAACTTGAGCTATGCTAATTGCATAACGTAAGTTGAAATAGCTTATTTTGACTTTTGGTGCTGTCTACACAGCAGTTATTTTGAAATAGAGCACTCCTCCCCTGACTTCCCTTACTCCTCATATAATGAGGATTACAGGAGTTAGAGTAAAAAGCCCATGATTTCTGCTGTGTATACATAGCCTAAATTGTACAGAGTTGTTTCGCCTTATGAACTTTATGACTTGAACTACAAATTTTGGTTTTCTATTGTTTGTTAGAAACCATTTTTATCATTATTGGTTTTTAAAGGAAACAGATGGTCTGTATTTCTAGTTCCCATTTTGACCAGTCTTGTCAGCATCCCTCTGTATTATAAATTTACAGAAGATCTTAAAATTGCTGCTTCCTTTTTTTCTATTTCTTGTGCAAGTTACTGTTGCTTCATTTTTAAACTATTTAGGTCTTTGTGACTACCTTTGTCTTTGTTTTGTTCATGTATCTGGTTCAAAACTCTGTGAAATAAGCCAACTTTAAACAAGAGGAAGGGGATTTAAACCCTGGCGACATGATGATTTAGCCTTTGACTTTGCTTGCTATAGAAACCCCAGATTAAAAATCTTGGGGTTCTTTCACCTCAAAAACATAACTACCCAGGTTTTAAATGTAAAAACCAGTCTTTACAATTACTTGGAAGCCTACCTCTATGTCACCCAGATATGGCCCCCACAAAAGAATATAAAAAACACTTTTTCACAGGGGGTCCTTAAAGAGATTGAAACTCCCTCCTCAGCCACCCAAAAAATAAAAGACCCTAATTAAATTGTAAATAGTTGGAAAAAAGCCAAATAATAAAGGTGTATGATATACCATATTTTAAAAGTAGCCAGACATTGGGTTAGAGGGTTTGCAGAGCTGTGGCTCTGCTTTGAGGAGGGTTCAGTTTTGCAGGTTTTTTTCCTCAGAAACTTGATGCTCTGGCTCTCCCCCTGTTCCTTGGAGAAAGGTCTTTCTGCAATCTGGCACAGATGTCCTAAAATTTACAGAAAGGCAAAGCAGTGCAGTATGGCTGTCAGGTGGAGTGCTACCAAGAAATGTTGGTATGTTGTACTGGTCCATAGCAACTCAATTCAAGCATTGTTACAATTTCCAAAGAAAGTCATTGAGAGCACCATAATGAAACATTCAACCCAAGTAAAACTGAAATAAAAATGGACACAGGCAGCTTTATTTTTGAATCTGCACTATTGTTTATTTTTCTTTTTTAGATGGGTATATTTTGGACATATTTTATTCTTCCATCTCACAAGTAAATGTATCTCTTCATCAGCATCTCTGCATGCTAACCTCATCATTACTTATCTAAGTAACAGATTCTTTTGTCTGCATATTTTATGTTAAGTTGAAGCTGATAAAAAAATTGCATTAATAGAATATTATAAAAATGCAAGCCAGTAGCAAAATAAACAGCCTTATTTATTTTACAGACACAAAGTATAAGTATGAACGAGAGAAAACCATTGACATTTGACTTTCATCTATTCCTATATTGTGAGAAAAAAATTAATACACACTTGATAATTTGATAAGAGTGTAATCCTGAACTAATAGAATGTGCAAAACATTTTGTGTAAAATAAGATTTTTTTGTTTCTATCTATCTATAAAATCTTGACTGAAATAATACTACAGTTTTTTAAAATGTTGAACTGATATATAGTCTAAATAGCTGGCTTTCTAGAGTGAACACATAGCTGTCTTCACATTCTCTATGAGTAATGGCAATACAAGACTAAAAATCAAAGATGCCTCTTTCACACTGCTGTGTGTTTCATTTTAGTTTTCTTCAGTGATCTACTTGCCATACTCGTCAGTTAGCCACACTATATATGTGCAAATGTTTCCCCCCCGTGAAATTGTTTTAGGACTTTTTCCAAGAGTGCAAAAACAATAATTGTGTCTGCTAGTAGGTGTACAAAAATAGTCAGAGCATAGAACAGCGTATATACTAAAGAATGCTAATTTGCTTAAGATTTCATTTGCTCCAGTTACATAATTCAGTGATTTTATCACACTATATGACAGTCTGTTCATTTTGCTCTTTCTTATCCATAGATTCCTTTGCATCCCTCACTCTACTTACAGTATCTCTATGTTCTAATAGCACGTTACTGATGCTGGCATCTGTTTGTAATTTATTTTGTCTTTTTTTCCTGAATAAGAAACAGGCTGTGAGGCCCACTCCTGCTAGGATAAGGACCAGAATAATTAGAATCCAAGTTGTGCTGTGGGCAGATGCTTCTGAAAATAAATGCAAAATAACTATTAGAGATACAATTGTTATGATAGACATTAGGCAGTATTCCTTTTAAAATACCCTCAACCATCCTATGACTCCTGTGCACTCTTCAGGCAGCAAAACAAAGCCAGAAATCTAGCTCAGCCAGTCTACTGATGAGTTCCCCAGACAAGAATTTCCTCAGCCTAGCATACTGACTCTATGTTAATCCCCTCCTGGTCCTGAGAATGGAAATACAGAGGAAACAATAAGGGTGCCAATACACCTCAGATATACTGAGATATCACAACAGCACCATGGGGTCACCATGTGATTTACACCTGTGAGGCCTCCACGTAGGGGTGTATGGAAAGGGAATATAGCACTCTCCTTTGTCCCCAGTCTGTGCTACAGTCCTTATAGGAGTTTGTACTTAAAGGTAATCTGGGGTCATTTTGCCCTGGGCTGGCCCAGGATTAGGGGAGTGGAAGGCAGCATTTTATACCTGAGTATATTTTCAGTTTGCAAAGGTAGTTTGACAGTAAAGAAGTGACACCACACAAAGGAGAACATGATGAAAGAACAGTCCTACCCGCTAATGTTATTCATAACTGACTCCATCTATGGAGGGAGAATTCTGCCCCTAAGCTTCAACAAGATATGTGAATATTTTAATACACTGAAATGCATTTGATACTAATTATGCCAGAAAATACTATAAAGAATAGTTATTAATTTCAGAGGATACATCTTTGAAGTTATTTATGAGAAAATAGTCCTACCTTTCTTAATGATCAGATTCTCACTTGGTTCAGTGTCAATCACTTGCATAAAACAAAACAAAAAAAAAATCCGCATTTAGTCAAAATTTGCAAACATCTACATTTTACTGTTATGTATGATTAAAGCACACTCTATATAAACAATTGCTGTTTTAGTCATACTGTTTCATACATTTATTGTAGATGCATTTGCTAAATGAAACTAACAAAGATGAAGATTATGATAGCACCTATGATAAAGTGTGTAACTACTTTCTGAATGGTATCCTTCCTGCCTTATCCATCCACTGACTTTGATCTTTATCTACTCAGGTTTAACACCCTTTCTCCTGATACTTTATGCAGAGAGGTAGGGGGGTGGGCCACATAATATCTCCTCCCCCCCTTCTCTTCTATTTATTTCGAGTTTCCGTATCCTCTAATCATAACTCCGGTCATCTGAAGAAGTGGGCTGTGCCCACGAAACCTCATGATACCAGCTACATGTTTTGTTAGTCTATAAAGTGCTACCAGACCATTTGCTTACACTTTATCATGACGTTCATTATAGCAGAACCCAAACACTTTAGTAATAAAGGTCTCTTGATTAATGATCAAATAACATCAACCTGCTTCTTGATTAATAATCAAATAACATCCAAGCTCAGTGAGACCCTGCTTCATGAAGGTACTTAAGCATGTGAATAGTTGCACTGACTTGAATGGCATTACTCATGGGCTCAGAGTTGAACATGTGCCTAATGATCTTGTTTCTATGAATACAGATATTTGCACAGATAATAACTCATCTGATGAAGTTTTAGTCTCTAAGGCTGTGTCCAGACTCCATGCCTCCGTCGACGGAGGCATGTAGATTAGCCAGATCGGAAAAGGGAAATGAAGCCGCGATTAAAATAATCGCGGCTTCATTTAAATTTAAATGGCTGGGGCCCGCCCC